ATTTCCCAACCGCTATGATGATTAGATACGACCTTGAAAACTTAGTTTTTTTGCAAAAATTTTGTGATTTCGTTAATTAACTTGCATAGACGTGAGCAAAACACTTGAAGTTACTACCTACTCTACCTAGGCTGAAGATGATCAATTGCATATAATAATCGCTTTTCGTTTTGTGTAAATAAAATTGGAAACGTTTTAATAGGATCGAATCTCTTAGAAAATTCCTTGTGTTTCACCATTGCTTTGCAGTCACTACCCGTTAACACATTGCGTGCACAAAATCGCAGTGTTCTACAGATCAAGGTCAAGTTCGAAGTTTCTCATTATTCATTAAATATTGATTACCTCGGAACTCTGCATGCAAGCTCAGCCATACCTTAGCAACAGGCCATGGGCCTATTTCTTCAACGCCGACACTTCTATTCTATTCTATTCTAATATTGAATTCTTGTAGTTGAAGTTGTGAACCCGCATGCACGTCAAGCTAGTGACCCATCATTATAATGAACTGTAGAGCCAGTCATGTCTCCTATGCTCCTGCAGAGGAAAGTTCATAAGAAACCTTGCATTGTGTCGTCGCCCGGTAACGGCCGTGTCATTTACCCGACATGGCATCGCGGAGGTCAATAATTATGCATTGCATGGCTTGTGCCGCGCCTGCGCCTCATGAGCGATCTTCTGGCGCCTCCGTGGACCGGCATAATGATTATCATCGAGACGATGATGATGGCCTCTGACGCCTCCGTGGACCGGCATAATGATTATCATCGAGACGATGATGATGGCCTCGGCCTGCCGACTGCAGGGCGCTGCGTGGCCTACACGCACACCACGCATGTACCGCCACGCAGTGATGGCCTCAGCCTGCCGACTGCAGGGTACTCACACTGAAGGCATCACCATCCTTCACACTGAAGGCATCACCATCCTTCACACTGAAGGCATCACCATCCTTCACACTGAAGGCATCACCATCCTTCACACCTCACCCCAAAGGATCACTCTCCTCCGCCAGAGTCCTGCAGATCCTGAGCGTCCTGGCGACCGCCCGCTGGGCGTCCCGCGGCGACTTCTTCTTTTTTGGACGAGCGCTGGCAACCGCGTCGGCCGTAGCGCGCTTTTCTTGAGATAATTACATTTTTTGAGGCCTGGAAAGAGATCCCAGGGAGCCTTCAATATCCATTCAGAGGAGGAAATTACCTGTTCTTTCGAGAAGATAATTACCTCCGGACAGTAGGACACCGGTTTATGCGCGGCGGTTTGGACAGAACCGCGACGATGAAGCGCGTAATGACACCGTCATTAAACGACGTGCTGGCGTGTGAAGAAACTACACGTCGCCTTCCATGCGCCAGTGCTTCACTCAACATGAATAACATTAAGTTAAAGTCACGAGCATAAACTCGCCATATACTGGCCATCAATGGACCTTGTTTCCATACAATAACTTGAACACTGACGAGGAAATGACGTTTTTGTATCGTACTCAACTTGAAATATGGCCACGAATGGGATGCAAACGCCATCGAAACACGAAGTTTACGTATCGTTAATTTAAAAGAGGAAAATACACAGGAGATGACCGTCCCGATCTTGAAAGAGAACGGCCGGAGTTGTTGCTATGCAGTATGCACCCTACGTATATGTATCGTTGTTGCAGCGATCTGAATAACTAATTAGGTATAACCAAGTAGTAGCAATTTGAGTATCGAATAGTTAGTATTCGCATGCGAACTTCAAAATTTGGAATCTACGCGATGAAGCACCTGATCAATCTAGATTAAATTAAACTACAGCGGCTATGCCCTAAAAACATGCGTTTTTTGGGGCATTTTACTCAAGCAGGGATTTCGTATCGTGAATTATTTTTCCAGGTTGTCGCCTATAATGGACTTGCCTACAGGAAACTTCGCTTCCAGTGTCCAGCTATTCCGAGTCATGGCTGGATCTCTTGTCACACCATTTTCCTGCCATGAATTGATCATGGCGTAAATTACGTTTTTTGTCTCGGTAGTTGCGATACCCGCTCGGCATATGACAAATGTGACATGTGGTTCCGCCCTCAAAGCGACAGTCTCAGCCGCTCTCGAAATTGCGTAACCTGTCACATAAATCCTGAGTAATTCGCCCGCCACGACTGCAATGCGCGCGCAAAACGCTCCCAAATGAAATAGCCAACCCTATGGCGAACGCCGGAACAGTGATGTAATTTTGGTGACTTGGATACGTTTTAGTCCTGCAAGGGAAAAGGACGGGTAGTGCTGGTGTAAAGTTGTACTTTGGCAATCAAACGTGATGAATGAACGGTCGCTGGTAAACGGCACAACCACATGTCAATGATATTTTGAGATCAAACCAATAGCATTGCCTCCTTTTTAATTTTTTACTTCGCGCATTTTTTTAATTAATGAAATCCTTTTTTGTAAGGATCCAAGCGTGATCGCGTTCTGTGTCCAGCAGCATGCCAAAAACATTTGATATTTTCCCTCCTATGTGAAAATTTTTTCGCTCACGTGACATAAGTACAAGACTAATTTCCTACTCAATACATCAAACAGTAGATAAAGTTTTACAAAGAGTCTTTGGTCTCATCGACGGGTTTATTATATTTATAAGCTATTTGATTCAGCGACTACTTAGATTCTTAATGTGTTGATCTCATGTACTGTAATTAAATTGTAGAGTTCTTTAATTTATTACTTATCTAATGCAACTGCGAGATTTCAGCTACTCGTGCTTGCTGCTGCTACTTTTCATGTTACCTCGATCTTTCATCGTAATATATACTAATGCGCGATAACGTATATAACATGTTGCCGGAATTCTAATGAACTGAATTAAGGCTTTCCTCGTAACTAGCAAATGTGTTATTCGATGAATGTTCATCAACCACGAATATAACCGTCACTCCATGCAAAAATATCTTCTGTCCCGATTTACCACGTTCTGCCCATAAATATTCCTCGTCTCCTGGACGCCGGAGGTTAATCTCGAGCCATCAGCTGTTTTTACTGCGGTTGTGCGTCTTATTTCTGGTGCCGAGGCGCTGGCTACCCGCTGCTCCAATCTGCATTTATTATTTTACATCTTTTCGACGAGCGCAAAATTCTCTCGTAATCAGGCAAAGCTTTCATCTGCTTGGAAGCTGTACTCGGCCAACCATGCATTACATATGTACCATCAGTGCAGCGTTCAAAACATGGTGACTTCCACCAGCTGCTCACGGCTTCCGTGGATGTGATGACCATAACTATCTTATTTCCTTGTAAACCAACGGCACTCGCGTTCTGTCAATTGCGATTGAAGTGTCGTGAGGTGATTAAAACCCGTAAACTGAGGTGTTTTCTCATCACCGCTTTTGGCGCATCAAAATGCCGATGCGCCTTTAACAGTTTCTATTTCAACAATGCATGTTATAGCTCGCATCAGTTTCTATCAAACGCAACAAGTATTATTTTCTAAAATTACCTACACCTATGTTATTAGTTAGTTTCCAAGACGCCTTTTGAAAGGCTCTCTTCTCAGATAATATACGTGCTAAAGTCCAGGCCTTTCAACGGAATTTAGGGTGAATCTTCTGAATAACTCTAGTTTTATTTTCAAAAACTGCCAACGACTTATAACTTTCCTTCCCGTAGATACATATTACATTAGAAAACTTCTCGCTCCTGGAAAAGATTTATCCGCTCCTGGAGTTTCTCTTCGCTTCGACCACAGTAAGAACGTTCCTGACATTACTCGTATGTCAACATTAGTACTCTGCGGATAGAATTATGATAATAATTTCGTATCATCCTATATATACATACACTTTACTAATGGTATGATTTTCTGTTAATTCATTTTAAGTCATACATGAGCGACCGTATGCAAGTTCTAGCAACGAAACCAGATAGTTGTTGGGCCAATTCAGAGTGAAACAATACGAAAATAGTTTTAAAATGTTTAGTGCACGCATCAAATATCCAAGTGGTGTGGACAATAATTTTTCAAACTACCTACAATACTCGTCGAGCAATGCCGTGCTCATGCATCGGCGCACTTATGTTACCTTGCTTCTCCCTGCCAGATGTTAATCGATTCTTATATTTAATTTCGAAAAGTAACTTTCATTTGTTTCATATCTTCACCCCAACTCTGAGAACGAATCTCCACAGCTGCATCACTCACTAGCCGTTATGCTGAAGCAATCGTTAATGCATAAATAATGACCTGTGTTGTAGTTATTCGCTGTGTATGGAATGATTGGAAATTTGCACTTTAATAAACGTATGTATAGGATGAGCTTTGACTGAGCGTGCAGCTCTATAATTAATGGTCTGGCTTGTGTACGATTTATGGAGAGTTTCTAGACGAAGCCTGCAGCTAGTGATCGCGGCAGCGACATCGGCAGCTTGGGGTGGCTGTGTAAATAACTTCTATAGAGCGTAATTGATTTTAATTACGACTTCTTGTTTGTCGAATCTCGTTGTAACCAAGGCGACGGTAATTGTTATTGTTAACCTCTAATATCGACCCCATGGCAATTGTTTTCTTGAACCTTTCAACGCAGACTTCTATAGAACTGTATTTAATTACACGGCTTTGGCGAGTGAACGATCAGAAAAATATATTTTCCAAGACGCTTTTGACATATCGGCAAGGTATACAATTTTCTGCAAAAAATAATTGCCGTATTTTTTCTGAGTGTTTTGATATAAAACTCATCGTTGCTGATTCTATTTGCTGCTGAAAAAGAGTGTGGTTTTGTGCACATTGCTACCAGCCAGCCTTTTTTTTTCTATTGGAATAATGATAGAAAAAGGTTTTTGTATATCTGTAAAACAGTTTCAATTTCGATTTTATTTGTGATTATTAATTGGCACTGTCTAGCTTATAAAAATTAATGGTGAAGTTTGGCCAAATCTAGATTCATGTTAATTCAGTGCTGTTTTCAGTTAAACATTTCTTCAAAATTTTTTACAAGCAAAGAAGTTGACTTTCATTGTTCCTCCTTGCAGATTTCGAAGCAAATCATGACCAGCCGGCAAGAACCAGCCTCGATGTTAGCCACTGCTGGATGAAAGACTGGATAGCATCTGCTCTCATTGGTGAGTGTCATCCCTCGTTGCGCACGTGGCTAATTATGTGTAAAATATAAACATTATGACTAATTATTGATAAGTATAACGATTTCTTATTATTGCTGATTTAAAACATATATCCAACAAAATCCGAGGTTCTTTTCCTTGATTCTAAACATCATGCAGTCGCCTAATTTATTTCACCTGGATTTCCTTGCAAACAGGAAGCTTATTCGAGCACGAACGCTTGTGAGCTGTTATTTTGTAGCTAATTCAAGTGACTAAGACTCAAAGATGGAGAAGAAAAGATACCTTGGCTTTGAAGAAATGTGCTCTGTTAGTTACTTACCTTTTGTATGCTTTTGGTATGTTGAAGATTTTAAAAAGCGCGTTAATAAGGCTTAAGTGTTTTTTCTGATGTTGTATTCGAAGATGTAGCTTCTGCTATCACCGGAGTACAATAAAGGAGTCGTTATAAGGCAAACGCGTGATCGTTCAACTTCTTATTCGTCATTCATGCACTTAACAAGCTTTTTGTTATGTTTTTCGAGCTCTGTTCTTTTCTTTGCGAGACGTCGAAATGATCGGAAAGTTATGGCCTCATTAAGGTTTCTTACCTGCGCAAAAAGCGATCAATTTATGGAGGCAATGGCCCACGATGTTCATGTGTCTGTGTTGGAGCACGCGGTCTCTGCGCGACTTGCAAGTACCGAGCCTTTGGGTGACCGCGGTTCGCATGTAATTACCTTCGGCCTCTGTCATTCATCACTGTGTCTCCTTTGGCGCTTCAGGTCTGGCTTTTAATGAAGCTAATTTGTATAAGTTTTGAGCTTATGAGCTTCGCTTCGAGGTTCGGGTCCAAAGCGTCGATAGCTGCAAGTGGCGGCGGCATGACCAGCGTTTTGGACCTTTGATCGCTACAAATGATAGCACAAACGGTGCGGCTCGAGCGCTATCAGCAACCGCCACAGCCCTCTCGCCAAATGAGCTAATCGTGCCGAGCTGCGGCCTGCATCATATAGGACCGCGGCCGAGCCGACAGCTTGGTCTTGCTTTATCGAGTCCTGCAGTTATCGTGCTCAGGGATGAATATATTTTCCATTCTAGGCAGTTACTTGAGTCAAAGGCTTCTTTCTGAATTTTATCAGAATATCTATTGTTACTAGCGCTCATGTATTAAGATCTGCGAGGCGCACATTGATGATCAATACATTGCATGCGTGTAGTTCAGATCCATAGATTTAGAGAAGCAGGAAATAGGGACTGTAGCGAGTCGAGAGTTTTTGATTACAAATTCGTTTGAACTCCTTCATCTTTTATGTCCCACTAATGTCGCTGGGCTCCAATGTGTTGTTAATGTCCTGGCAAAATGTCGATCATAGTTACTTAAAATTGAGGAGAAACTTGCAGACTGTAAAATATATACTGGAGTCTAATTATTTGCACACTTGCCTTAGCAGGAATTATCGAAATGCCCTGATGAGAAGCAGATGCAGACGATACAAGGACACTTTATGAGCAGATAACCACCTTGAATTTCCGTCTGGCGAATCTATGCTTAACGTCCAAGAGTTTATCTGGACATTGCAGGCTTTTGGGCGCAGCGTCGTTCAGCTTACAAATAAAATTGGCCGCCAAATGTTGCGGATAATGCGAGCATCGCTTGAGTGTTCCGCCTATCGAACACGCTGTACTTCGGACCCTTGATTTAGCAGCGCAATGAGCACTGCTGAGATGCTTACCAAACTAGCTTTGTGTAGTGAAAAATAAAACTTTAATCCGTCAAATGAAGTAAATTTTAATAATTACAGTGGTAATTCTCTTAATTGTGCACAAACAAATCTATAGTGCCACATTACCCATTGATGCATTCAGTTCAAAGATGTTAATTGACATTATGTGAGGAATTGTGAACTGGATGGAACTTTTGCATGCCGTGCCATGAAATGTTTACATGACACTGGAGAAATAAGTGCTATTTTCCCGTAGTTAAATTACGGTCATAGAGAGTTAAAAAACTACATTAAAATACTTAATCTCTGTTGGTTCCAAAAAGCGAATAATTGCTTGACAGAATAGTCACCTCATTTTTTCTGAATGTTATTTGAAGAATTTCAGTCTTCATAAATGTACATACATTCGCTTAAATTAAAAGAAAAATGTACAGACCATCATGTATTCAGACAAATCAAAATTTATCGTTGATTTCGACGAATAAAATATTTCTTAACAACGCGTCTCCAGTTCTTAATCCGGGACTTATTGAGAGGCATCACGACATTGAGTTCCGTGGTAAAGAATGGCAAACTGTTCCTAAAACTGCTGATTATTATCCTGAAATGTGTTAATAATCCCCATGACAAATTCTTCAATTTATTTATTTGAATTTAACATTCTGGTTATGAAGAATAATATCTTTTACTATTGGCGAGCGGGCTTCAGCCTTCCCTATGCAAGGTTATCCTGTCATGCTTCATTAAACATGCAGATTTAATTTCTCATATCTAATTTAGTGCAAATTTAAAGATTGAATAAATGATAGAACTTGACACTCACTCATTGATAAGAAAATGAACAAATATGTTTAGCTCACATTCATGTAAACGCTGGTTGAGTTTTCATATGCAGATTTTAGTTTTTCTCCTCTAAAGATCTTTATCGGTCAAAGGCGGTTAAACCTTCAAATAATATGTTAAGTTATCAGTATTAATGAATATTCAAAGCTAATGATCCGTCTTTGCATAGATCCAACTTTTTAGCGGAAATCCTGAAAGTTTTCTCAAAAATCAATCGCCGCAATTAAGTTATGAAGCAGCTTGCGCATCTTGTTGGTCATTTTATCACAAAACTCATCGAACAACCTCAGCTGCGACAGCTTGATGCAACACAGTTGCAAAATTTGCCTTGCTATTCATTAGGATTTTTTCCCTTGAATGATAATAAATGTTGACTAGTGTCTTAAAATACTAATAAATGTTGACCAGTAAATCTTAAAAATTTCTCGTCCGTTGTGTGTGCAGATGAATATTCAAACCGAGAATTTAGGTGGATGATGATTATTATTAGCTTTGCTGAATCCAATATTGCGGCGTGGTAATTGACTGAAATTTTTGCATTTTAATTTTAACAAATCTAAAACTTAAATATAGGCTCATTTGACGATATTTCTTTCATGGTTTTCAAAACTATATTTTAAGAAGTCGTGTGCCGCGTTAAAACTATAAACGACTTATATATCTAACTAATAGAATTCAGGCAGTCGCCAGAGGCTTTTTCAACGCTAATTATCAGAAGGAATAGGAACGTATTGCCGGCAGAGCGATTTTATTGGTTGTCGAGTGGCTGAGGAGGAGGGCTTATCTCTCCATCCAAAGCCATGTTGCTGCCGCTGTAACGGCTGCTACAGACGTCACACTCAATTTACTGAGCTTCCATAGCCAGACCGATACCACAAGTCTTCCACAACCAGATAACTCGCTCAACACAAACTCTCTTCTCTCTGCTGCTTTTCATTTCGTAGCGAAACTCTGGTATTTACTCTTTGTGCACAAAGAGTAAAAGTAAAAAGAGTACGTTGTTATTTGCCTTTGCGGATTTTTTCTGTTCTTCCCTACATGATTTTACATTAGTCGATTTCCTCGTATTACTGATCTGAATACTTCATTCTATTTTATAGAGTAGGTTTTCGGGATTTTAACAACATCATGCATCCTGACCACTCCACTGTAGGAAGTTAAAAAAAAAATTCCACCCACAAAAGGTGGTGTTTCCTTGAAAATTTGAAATTTATAATTTCCAGAATTTTTCGTTGGCAAATTATTGCGCTTTGACATTCATATGCTCTATTTAGTTTGACCTCGGATGACGGGCGCGCCGCTCTGTTATTCAACTAAAGGCACATCACAGCGAAATCGAGCATCAACGCCATTCTAGTAATAGCAATGATGAGTAAATAATTTGAGGTCGTTGACTGACTTGAGGTGTTAGAGTGCATTGTATATAACCAGCTATAATTACCCATCTGTAAATATATCCAGGTATATATTTCACTGATACATGTGACGGCAGCGCTCCTCTTCAATGTGGTTAACAATCGTGATTGGTTTTATTGCGATTATACGGCGCTATACTTCACAAATGTTCAATATTCGTATTTACGATCATCTTACACTTCCATAAAGTTGATCAAATCTTTACATAGGACATCATAACGATCTAATCTAATCTAATTAGTCATTGAGCGAATAAAGATTAGCTAATTGGCGTGATAACTCCTTGTGAAGAAAAGAAATAGAGGGAAGAAAAAAATATAAATATATTTATAAATTGAAAGATACTTTTCTTTTCAATTAGGAATGAGCGATAGCGCATTGCATCAATAAATCATGACGAGCGTCTCTGAATATGCATATTCTACATAAGATTCCCTATCATAGTACCTGGATGGATATATGATATCCTAAAGCAGGTTAAAGATCAGTTTTTCTATAGATTGGCTCGAATCGGCCGAATTTGGTCTCTTGGTCACATGTTCTAATTCGAAAAAGATGCCATCGTTTTGAAACTAAATAAAATAGAAGATGAACGTCAAAATTTAAACAGCATATAAGTTGCAAGATGAAGACATTGCATCGCTGTCGCCCAACGAAGCGCTCGCATCTGTAGTACTGAATATTCACTTCTGGTCGTGAAGAAAGCGTATGGAGATCGTTCCTTGTGAGGAGAGGTGTGAGACAATCGAATCATCGTTGTCAAAGACTCAACGTAGGCTAAATAAGTTCTGTAGTCCTGAAATGCCTAATTTCTTTTACTGGAAAATTGTACGGACATGACTATGGATAGTGAGTAAGAAGACAAAATTAATGCAGTGCATATACGAATTTCAACAGAGGACATTTCTGTGATTAAGACTAGAGGGTTAAATTCAGTAGCAGCCGCGGGAAAAGTATTGCATAAAAAATGTACATGTTCAGTAAATTAACTATCATGAATTAATTTCATTTTAAACAAAAAATAAAACGGTGACT